AGCAAATAAAAACCCTAGAACAAATCCTGAGAAGAATCCTGAGCAAAATCGGAATGATTAAAAAATCCTCGAACAAATCCTGAAAAGAATCCTGAGCAAAATCAAATCCTCCAAATGATGATATTCCAAATCCTACCCAGAATGGTAAATAACCTATAACTGGATTTCCAGTCCCTAGCATGCAAAAAATCTTAAAATATTAGCCGTTTCTTTCTTAAAGATATACTCCTGGACTCCTGGTATGCAACCAGCACAAACAGGTTTGAGTTTAAATGCATGGGACTACCAATGGCCTCAACTCGTTGAAGGCCCGGGAGGGATGCTACTGGTGTGCGCGAGATAAACTTTTTACAGCCGAGACGGAGACGATCACATGGGTAGTTCTCTAAATTAGGGTTCCTTTTTGGGTTCCTATTTTTAAGGGTGCCGTACTATATTGGGGACCTAAAAAGGGATCCTATTTTAGAGAACTACCCATATGTTAAGCACGTGGACAGGAGCACCAAACCGGGCTGAGGAAGATCGAACGCTGCGAAATACAGTCAGCTTCAAGGTTTTCGTGTAGCACTTGGGGACTTGGTACTGCCAGACGCACCTTTTGCATGTTAAGTGAATGGGATGGTAGACCAGCTGACGAGTCTGGTTTTGTTGTGCAGTTTAGGGTCGAGGATTTACAACTCGCGGTCTTGAGGTTAAGTATGTTAGGGCTGTTTGTGTGTCTATTAACTAGGATCATCCCATGCTTTCTCTGTGGTGCGGAAAGTTTTGTTATCCCGAACATCAATAGCAGTCCCAAAAGTGAAACTGCTCCCGCCAATCATAGCGGTGTTGAAGGAGGAGTGCTGCCATAGGGCAGCTCAGGCCAGGATTTCGCGATAAAGTCTGCATGGGCCAGTTTTGAAGACGCGGTAGCTACTATCTTGCCAGCTAGAGCACCCAAATTAGCCAACACGCAGTGACATCCACGGTGACTTGCCCTAGGTAGCCGAAACCCTACATCGTAAGCTTAACCCTCGAACAGTAGGCGCTGTAGCTGAGCTAAATCAGTCTAATATAGCGGCCGAAATATTAACCAGTACTATTTCGGGGGTTCCTTATTGTTATTATAGTATAATGGTCCCCAAAACCGTATTCTACTTATTCAGGCCCCTACATTAATTCAGTTTAGAGAATCATGGCTAAGGCCTCGGCATCTCCGAAGCAACGGGGCACAGAGCTCGATGATATTGCAGACGCTGGCTTGCACGAAGTAGCGGCGTTCAGAACTTAAAATTAAGGGCTACAGGGGGTAGCCTGTGGAGTTCAGGAAACTATACTACTGCTGCTGTGCCTGTTGCGTGCGGTGTGGCGTCGTTTACGGTGGTGGTGGCAGATGGCGGTTCCTTTTGAGGTTGCCATCGGTGGTGTGCCCTAAACCCTAAACCCTGCTATCATAGTATAGGGGCCTGAAAAATCGATACTAGTTTTGGGGTTCCTTCATATAAACATAATCAGGTCTTCAAGAGAATCCGCGGGGTTCGTGGAATGTAGTTGGTGCTTTTGTTGCCTTTGGTGAGGCCTGGGGCTTGGAACAGCTTTATGTTGAAAGGGTTGTGCATTACTACTGATAATAAGTACAGTTGTTTTTTGTAATATGATTATCATCACTGCTATTATTGAAAATCGAGAATTCATATACAATGTTTTCAACTATCGCCATCACCGTTATTACCGTTGTTTGTTATTGTTATCATCATGATCATCGCGATCTTACTGCTACAGCTACTGCTGCTGTTTTTAGTGTTTTTTACATTACAGCTCCTAATTTGAGAAGCCGTCGCCTGACTCTCGGCAACGCCTGCTGGCAAGGAGGAGCAGACGGCAGACCCGCCAATTTTTTACGGAGAAGCACCGCTGGCAGAGACAAAGCCTATGTTGTTCAGAAGCTTCTTTGCAATGCAGACGTGCCTTTAGAGGGAAGGGTTTCATCTTAAGGACTCTTGAGGTCAGGCCCTGAACCCCTATAGAAGCTCTCTACCCTAAAGCCTAAGTTAGACATTCATTGGAAGCGAACTAGGCTTGCAACGGCTTTAGACAAATCCCCGACATTGACATGGCAGACACATCGGAGGGGAGCACCGCGGCTCCCACTGTCATGGCACGCTGCACACTGTCGTCCAACAAGTTGCATTCTCGCCAGTTTGCACGGGCACCGACCTCTGGTAAAACCCATTACTTTAGCATCGTTTGGGGATTCGACCCTGTCCAGCATAGCAAAGGCCGAGCATCTGTCTAAAGCAGAGCAGAGCTATTCGGCCTCTTGGGATCTTAACCCCAAGCCCAAAACCTGCAATACTTAAACCATCCTAAGCGCAAACCTAAACTCCAGCTGTACAGAGTGGCAGGACCATGCTTTCGCACTCTTCAGTGGGGTCTAGAGTCTAGAGGCCGTGCTGGCATGGTGGATGTAGTTGTGCCCGTAACATTTGACAAAGATTTGCAACTTGTTTGTTAGTGATGCCATAAATGATCCTATTTCGTGACATTATAACAAAAACAGTTAGTGGTAGTAGAAGTAGTCGTAGTAGTAGTAGTAGTAGTAGTAGTAGCAGCAGGAGTTGCAGTAACCGTAGCAGTAGCAGTAGCAGTAGCAGTAGCAGTAGCAGTAGCAGTAGCAGTAGCAGTAGCAGTAGCAGTAGCAGTAGCAGTAGCAGTAGCAGTAGAAAGTAGACAGTAGCAGTAGCAGTAGCAGTGGCGGTAG